AATAGTAAAAAAATAATTAAATAAATGCGCCTGCGATTTAAATAAAATAAACTGCACTAATTTGAGCATTACAACTATATTTATAAGCGCTTCATGTAATGAATTTAAAAATTATTATAAATGATTTTAACACATTCCTGAGTCAAATCATTATATTTCAACTAATGGCCTGAGGGTTTCACCATTTCTGATTTCCTGATTTTTGCATATTGTTATGTGCATTATGTAAATTGGTTAAATTTGAAATTTCATACATCCAAGCACAATGGTTCAGAAATTATAGCCTTAAAAACATGATACAGTGGCCCCCCTCAATTTACAAATGGTCAAAAAACAGAGTTATACATCACTTCAGAGATGTATAACTTTTTTCTCACTTTCAACGTGTCTCATTCTAAAACTATATTTTAGATTTTAGATTGTATTAACTTGTGTTAAATTAGAAAAAAATTATGACCTCCTCAACTTTGAAAAAAATCCTAAAGCATTTTTCTATTCATTCACAAGTCTTTACATATAAGTTTTTTGATTAGCTTCTACTGCTTGCAATAAATAGGCAAAATATATGCAGCTTGTTGCAGTTTAGAACTCAGATATATCTAAAATTGTTCACTCACCTAAAAAGTCCAATTCTTAGTCATTTTGAGATGCTTCAAAGTTTTTCTAACACTTTGTTTTGATCTAATACCATTAGACCCAATTATCGGAAAATGAAAACGTTATAAACTTGTCAAATACACACCAAAAATGCCAGCATTTTTAAACAACCTTATTTTTCAATTATCAACTGTTGAATGTGTTACTAGAAACTAGTGCCCCTCTAATCTGTCAGCTGGCTTGATAATCTTGTCAACTACTTAATATCTAAATATCTAAATTAATTTCAAAATGAAACGATTATTTCTATAAATTCTATTTCATTATTGGCAATCAGTGGTCAGTATGTGGTCTGGACCCCCTCCACCACTCATTAAGGAGGGGTAGCACCAAACAAAGGAAAGGGGGAAACAACTAACTTTTAGTAATTTAATTAACTTTTGATAATTCCCATTTAAGACCATAGCATTGTATATTTGCTGGAAAGTCTGGCACACATTTTTTATTGTCGCTATTATCAAAATTTGTATCTTATGGTAAAAACATAAAAAAATGCAATAAAGATCTAATGGCTTTTACTGTATATTTATTAGAAAATGAATCATTTATGTTTCATGTTAGAAAATGAGTTATACATCTCTGAAGTAGTATGTGTTTTAACCATTTGTAAATCAAGGGGGCCTACTGTGTCATGTTTCTAGACTATAATTTCTGAACCATTGTACTTGGAAGTCTGAAATTTCAAATTTAACCTATTTACATAATGCACATAATATTTAAAAATCAGGTTATTCAGAGATAGTGAGCCACAAAGTTTTCTTCAAATTGGATGAAGTATAATGATCTGACTCCTATTGTAACTAAAAAAAAAAATTTTTTTTTAAATAAAATATATGTTTTAAAGATTTTAAAAATTGTAAGTTTAATTATAAAAATTAATCGTATGAACATTACAAAATGCTTCAAAACTTTTCCATTAATCAAAAAAATACATGCATATATAAGTAAATAAATTATTTTATATTCTTAAATAATTCACATAAAATGTGTAAAAGCTAGTAGTCACAAAAGGTTTTGAACTTATTCATATATTAAAGTAACTTAAAATTTTTATTTTTTTTTAAATTAATGCTTTAAAATATTTTTAGAAAGACTTGGGAAAATAGCTTCAAACATTCAAATTTATCATGAAAAATACATGCCTACATAAAAAAAATTTATATTATTAATTACACACATGTTTATGTAAATATTCATTAAAAAAATAATTAATTATTTTGTTTAATTTGCGTAAAAAAAAAACTTTAGAAATGATCAACGATTAAAAGTTATTCATAACGTAACACTTTTTATTGCATTTAAAATGTTAAAACATCAAAATACCCGTGGTCAAGTTGTATAGAAAAAAATGATGTTTTGATGTGGTCAGTTACAGAGTGCGATTGCACGCCATTCCTGTGCAAGCTTGGTTTGTGGTAAAAAATGGCTCTTAATAACTTTTTGTATATGTAAAAATTAAGTACACTTTATGTCAAAAAAATTAAATTTAATTGAGAAAACTAATTAAATTAATTGCTTTTTAAAAATCACAAAACTGTAATGTTTTCATTTTCATTTTTTTACTATTACATGTAGAACATGCAAGGAGTACTGCTACATTGACTGATAAACAGGTAGAACATGCAAGGAGTGTTGCTACAGTGACTGAGGATTTCGGTTTGGCAGCAGGCCACAAGCTATCTATCAATTAAAAAAAGTTTTTTTTAACATTTTCTGGTCTTCTAATTTATTTTTTTCTGCTACATTAACTGAGGATTTTTTGAATATTTTCTTGAAAATAAAGCAATTAAAATGTCATTGACAATAAATCTAAATTCACTTAATTTAAAATCATTTTTACGATACGTTAACAATAGTTATGCAAGATTTCCTAACATCAAACAAGCAAAACAATTCCAAAACATTTCAATTTAACAACATCCTGCTACAAAATACACAATTAAAGTTGAAAATAAGACAAAAATGCTTAACTTTCACAATATAACCTTTATAAATAACACAATAGTAAATATGAATTTAGAAAAGAGGTAATCACTAAATTCTAGATTAAACCACATTTAAATTGTGAACCAAATATTTTAACTGCTTTATTTAAAGGATTTCTCCATAGACCTTACTCCATTTGTAGTAAACCTCATTTACAAAAGAAAATATTCCTAAAATCAGGATACAGAGCAATATTTAAATCAAACCCAAATTTAAGATCTTTATCAACATCAAAAAAACTAATCAAAACTACCTTGTAACAGCCAGCCTGAAACCTATATGATAAAATGCAACTTTTCCAAAGCAAAATGTAGGTAAAATAAAAATGCAAGTAAATATATGGATTAAGCCCAATATGTTAAAACCATGTTTTGGACACCATTTTTTAAATTTAAAAGGAAAAGAACCCATTCAACCACTGACATCAATTGTAACAATTTTATATAAACTATAATGGTTAAAAAATCTTAAATAATAAAGGTTTTGCATAAAAGAAACTGTATTTTTTGATGTTTTAAAATAATATATATATATATATATATATATATATATATATATATATATATATATATATATATATATATATATATATATATATATATATATATATATATATTTTTTTTTTTTTTATGTTTTACCTGCATTTTTGTTTTACCTACATTGAAATTAGATAATTTTTTTTATAAAATAATGATTAGGGATGAAATTTTCAAAAAAAGTTATTTTATATTTAATGAGTAAAATTTTATGTCTTATTTAGGCAGTTGGACAATTTTATGTTAAAATATTGTGAAGCAGATTATTAAAATTTTAGAAACCCCCCTTTGAAAAACACTTTTTTTGGAGTTTTTTTAAATTTAACTAGAAGTAGCAACTATGATAATTTGTTTTCTGAAATAGTTTTATCCTGTTATTTGCTAAGCGTATTGACGTTCGTAGCCATAGCAACCTTTGTTGCTACAAAAAAAAAAAAAATCTATGTCTTTCAAATTGGCCTACAAGTTATGGAAAATAGTAAAATTAAATATAAAATTATAATTAAATATAAAAAAACTTGATTAAATATTTACAGTATTTTACAAATTTTTCTTGATTTAACTATGTTATTGATTAACAAAAGGCTTTAAGATTTGAGTCTCACTTGCCACAACCTCGCTAGGGCGCTTTTGACTTTATAAACTAATAAATTAAAGAATTATGCTATTCTTTAAAATGGTTTAAATATATAACGTATTTTTCAAGCAGTACTGGTTATTAATTTTATGTATATTACTTTTGTGGAAAAACAATGTAACAACAGAATACTGTAGGCGATTTGTGAGTGTGTGTGTTTTATAAGTATCACACCAAGCAAATTAACTTATTATTATTTAACTGAACATTCAGATCAAATATGTTTTCTAATGTCATTTTTAGTTAAATTATTATAATCTAACACAGCAAGTGCATTTACAACATGAACCTTTTATAAAAATGTTTTGCATGCAATCTTTATACATAAAAATCTTCCTATCTTTTTTAAAATTTTTTGTGCAGACACATAAAAAATCTTTGTTTTTTTAAAATACTCTAAAAAAAAAAAAAATTTTGTTAATTTATTAAGATTTAAAAAGATTTTAATCTTTGTATTTTGTGAATATTTTACACCATAGTTGAGAGAAGTAAAAACACAAACTCAAAAAAAAAGCTAATCCGGAAAACATCTACTTTTTTTGTTTTACAAAAGTAATGTACGTAAAAGTAATATATAACAACTTGAGTGTTTTATTGCTTTTTTAAAAAAGTGCATGATTCTTAGATTGATAAACTTAATTATAAAAATTTTACTAAAATATTTGTATTTCAGGGAGTTTTCTTGGAGGTTGTAGGCAGAGTTATCATTTTAGTCTCAAGTGGACTCTTGGAACAACTTCTGGTAGTGCCAAAAGTTGGCAGCCGCACAGGAGAAGAGCAGCGTAATGCTTGTCTTAGGGACTAAAGGACTCGCATTTGACACAACTAGTTCTAATACTGGAGTTCATCTTGGTGCATGTACTGTCTGTCAATAATGTCATTACCATATCTTTAAAGTTTTTAATTAAAGACATCATCTGCTGATGATGTCTTTAATGAAATGTCTAATGGTTTACGACAAGAGATGACAATGGTTTACAACAACGACAAGAGATGATCTCATTTTATAAGACTGCAATCAGAAATAAATCTCTGAAGAAGATTACAGAGAGCTTCTTCAGTTACCTTTTTTTTCTTGACATAGAAATTGATGGCAAGCTATGTCTTCATGTACCAGGTGCCCTGCACAATGCAAGATGGTTGGCTAAGGCCATTTATTCTATTAAGATATGCCTCTTTAGAGATCAGATTCAACTTATGGCACAGTAGTTGCAAGGCTTGATGAAGGTTTTGCATTTATGTCTGATTCTGGCATGAAGCACCACTTGCGATGAAAGCACACACTGAATGACCTTAAACCATTGGAGCTGCTTGAAAAGTATCCCGAGCATTGTGTCAGTGGTAAAGCATCCACTGGTTTAAAGCAGTGATTAGAAGTTAACAACACTTATTACCTGTGGTACTTTTCAGAGCATCTAGTACCACTTGCTCTGTTTGACAAGCAAGTCAAAGATGAAATCAAATTTAAACTTTTATTAACTTTTCGCCTGTGCCAAGCAAGAATGCTGTTTTTGATCACAGCAGCCCTTTATCAAAATACATGCTATAAAAAAATGGAAAAGATGAGGCTAAATCATTCCTATTGAAGCTACCTACTTTATGGTCTAATGATATGATATTCCAGGACACAAGTGTGAAAGTTACCCTTCTCAAGGTCATTAATTATACGGCAGAGCAAACAATTGTCTTTATCCAAAGCTACAACAGTTCACTAAAGAAGAATAAGACTCAAAAACAATATTTATTGCAACTTGTTAGCAGCCATCAGAAGCACTATCCTTCTCCAAATAAGTGAGCAATGATGAATATCAATAAATAACTTCTGGTAGATCCTGGACTTAAGTACCGGTCGGTGGTTATTATAGGTGAAATTGATTAGTGAAATAATGGAAATTGATTACACTATATCAGCCCTTGGAATTCCGGTGCCAACCTAACTGCTGACCTCAAAGTATTTAAGGTCAGCAAAAAATTGCCGTTCTTGTTTCTTGAATTTATGGTAACCCCTTTGTGTCAAATTTTTTTTGCCGACCTGATGCTAACCTGTAACAGTTTGAGTTTGGCAGTTTATTGTCGACCTCATTTTTCCTAATTCCGAGGGTTGCTACATAGAAAATTTAATTTTTTTTGATTGAAAGAATTTTGAAGTATTTTGAAATTTATGTGTTTTTAAGAAAGTTCTCAATTCATACTTCAATCGTTACTTGGCACTTGTACTCATAATTTATATATTTTATTTTTGAATATTTTATGTTACTGATTGCACATTTTTAAAAGTTTGTGTCAGATGCTTATTTTTATGGTTTAAATTGGTCATTTCAATCATTTGCTTGGTGTTGATCTAATTGGTATGTAAATAGATAATACAGCAGAACTACTACCAAATGATGTAAATAATATTCAAAGTAATTTTATAATGCACATTTTATAATGCACAATCATTTATTTCTGTATTGTAATACAGAAATAAATGATGTAAATGATATTTAAAGTAATTTTAAATTGCACAGAATTATAATACAGAAGTAAATTGGCTCAGATTTAAAATATTTATATTCAATAATGTTCACAGAAATAATCACTAAGCATATAAATTTGCAGATTTTTTGAAGCTTCATTGAATTATTCTAAAATAATTTTTTTCAATTATTTTATCCTGTTTACAACTACTGCATTTAGTTATTAGTCCATAGATATCTAGTTTATCAAAAAAAAAAAAAAAAAAAAAAAAAAAAAAAAAAAAAAAAAAAAAGTTTCATTTTCTGAGTTAAATGTCTTAAAATGTTTATGTGTACTATTATTTTAAATAATATTGTACTTTTTAATATACCATGTTCTCATTGTTAAGTTTATGACATGTTCTTAGTATTAAATTTAATGTATAAAAACCATTACAAACAAACTCGTCTTTCTTTAGAGAATTTTTCACTTTTTGACAATTAAATTTCAGCGCAGTTATAAGGTATACATTATGTATTCTAAGCATTAGATTTAGTATTTTAAACATTGTAAAGTCACAATATCTCTAAAAAAAACAACTCATATTTCAAAAAAAAAAAAAAATTTATTAAAAAAAATTAAATTTTAAAGTTTACTTAATCAAATTTTAAATAAAAATGTTGTATAGTTTATTATTTAATTCTCTGTTTTATGGCCAACTCATTTAATACTGAAGATGCAACTATCTGTGAAATTCAAAAATCTTGTTCTTTTTGTAAACATGTATGTCTGATACCTTTTTCCACTTTCTAATGACATTTCAAGCAGAAGGTTTCTCAAAGTCTACACAGTTTTTTTTTTTGTTTAAATATCAACACCAATTAAGTAAAATTTTTTATCTATTTAGATTAAATTAAAAGTTTTTATAATATTTTCAAATTAAAAGTAATTTAACATCAAATATATTGAATACATTTTTTAATTATTTACTTTTGAATTAAATAAAATATTATTTATTATATAATGAAATATTAAAATATTGTTCTTTGATAACAAACTTAATTCTAAATTTTCTATTTAAGAATTTTTTTTTTTTTCAAAGCATGCATGTATAGCTTTTTCAAAATAAAACATAAAAATGATCAATGTTATATAAATGATTAAAAATTATCAATGTTATATACATTCCTTGTATATATTGAATTTTTGTATTGACAGTATACCACTGTAAACACCCTGTATATGTGCCATTATAAATGTCTTTTTACAGATTGTTTCATTAAAAAATTTGCTTATCTCCCAAGAAGATGTGGCTTTTGTTTTATTTTGTTTTCATCTATTTCCTTGCTTAGTTGATATCATTAGTTAGTTAAATTTGTCTATTAAATTGACAAATATTTTTGGCAATTTAATAGACAAATTTAACTTTCTTTTTAATTAGCCTAAATTGATGCAGTGAATTTATGTTAATATATATTATTAAAAAATTTTTTTTTTATGAATCTTAACAAAATTTTTTTTAAAAAAGCCTTCATAGTAACAAAAAAAGTTATGAAATAATTTTTTTTATCTTTTTAATTCCATGTTTCTCAAAAAGCCTTTTTTTATATATATATGAAAAATATTTACATTCAAAAAATAAAATATATAAATATTTAGACGCAAATAATGGCAGTTAGATGTTCAAACTTAGCTGAAACAAGGCTTTCAACTTTGGACGATGTTGTCAATACTTCACCTGAAGTAAACCCTAAACAGACTTGTCCATATGGTTCCGCTTGTTACAGGTTAATTTTTAAAAGGTTGTTAAAGATTAATAAAGTAAAAAGTCAGATTACAAGTTTACAAGCTTTTTTAGTCCAGATTTTTTACAATCTAACTTTTTATCTTTTAAGCATTGGTTTAGGCTTAGTATATTGATTACCTTTTAGTACAGTTTATAGTTTTTAGCAGTAATCACGCAACAAGCTGCTGCCATTTATTGTCAAAATATTTTGTTACCTGGCTAAGCAAAGAATAATAAAAGTTTGCTCTAGGTATTTAAGTGTCATGATGGAGAAAATGATTATAAGAGCTACCTTATTAAAGTTTACTTAATAAAAATAATGACTAAAAAATGATAACTATTAATTATCATTGAGAAAATTACAAATACTTCTAACTCGATAGCTTGATTAAATAAGAAACTTTTTAAGATTATGCATTAAAATACAGATCCTAACAAAAATTGTTACAATTCAATGTCATTTTGGTTTGGGGGAAAGCTGGGGGAGATAAAGAGATAAAGTATTTTTGAAGTTAGTTGACTAAAGAAGGAAGATAGAAAAGGAGGCAGGAGGAGAGAGAGGATAGGATTAGACCAAAAAAAATGCCACTAAAAAAAAAAGAAAAACAAACTTTTATTCTAAAGCTTAAAACATTTTATTTTATTAAATATACTTAAATAAAAACACATATAATTATTACTATTAATCACTACATGAAAATAAAAAATTGTTTACAATGTACATATAATATAAAATTTGATATTTGTGTATTCATATTTAACACAGCTCTATTTCGATTTAGGAATTAATTAAGATTTTATTTTATTTTTTATGACACATTGAGGAGGAGGTGATGAAATACAACACGCTCATAACTTAAGAATAGTAGAAACTGTTGTAAAAATTGTTTGTTCAATTATTCCTTATAAAGTTGTAAGCTACCTATATGACTGTACATTCAAGTATCAAATAAGTATGTAGTTTTAAAATTTTTAATTTAAGAGGATAGATTTATTTGAGGAAAGCCAATTATTAAATGGTAACATGTTCAAACCCTAAATAATTTTTTTCAGATTTGTTTTCAGATAATACTAAAAAAAATTGTTTTAATTTTTTTTTTCTTCACCTAATTATTCAACTTTTATAACCAGTAACTTATATAAGTCGAATAAATAAATATAACAACTTATATAACAAATTATAAAACAAAGAAATGGATTATGTTTTTTTAAATCAACATCATCAGAAATTCACACTATCAATCTATTGTTTGCCACTGCAAAACTAGCATTTCATTTTATTTGATATTTTGAAATCAAATCATTCTAAGTTATCAGGGATTAGAAGTTCCAAAAGCAGCTCTTTTCTCAGTTTTAAAATAAAATAATTGTTATTTATTATTAGCCCTATAGTGAACTCCAGATATATTGAGACTTGTGGACTACTGCTGACAGATTAGAAATTTACAGCACAGGAGCTACCCAAGATGTACAAATAAGTTTGCCCAATGTTGACCCCAAATTTTTTTTCCTATTGTTGGGTTGACAAAGTTTTGGTCGAACTCATGATTTTAAGTTGTAGGCGCTATATTGGCCAAACCAAGTGCTACAGTTGGTAATATGTTGGCTTAATTATATTTTATTTGGTTGAACTTACATTGATATAAAGTTGTCAACACTATGTTGGCCTAATGAAGTATTACGGTTGGTGTTGCTTTTGCATATAATTCTAAATTATAGGCTTCATTGATTGAATAGTTTGGGTTGAAAAGTGTGAGGGTTAGCATATTGCATTTTTTACTATGTTTGCATTTTATTGGACCACCATTAGTCTATCTAATAGTTTTGTTCGCCTTTTTTTTGCTCTAAAGAAGCCTCTCTACAAAAATTTTTCTTCTCAACAAAAAAAATTGTCACTGAAATGGTTAAACTAGCTGAGAATTATATCTAAAACCTCTGTTTAGTTGTAGTTTTAATTTTCTGCCTGTTTTTTTTCCTCCTCAATTTAGTGTAGTCCATTAGTCCCTCATTTTTTAGTTATTGGAACAAATGAACAATTTGAATTGGTGAATGTTAAAGAGGCGGAAGTCCAACAATATAAATTTTCAGGAATCTAAGAAAAACTGCATTTTCCCGCATAGTAAATTTTTGTTAATGGTTTAATTTTTTTTTTTTCTGAATAGGATAATGTTTTTCAACTTCAAAAAAAAATTGCTAAACCATTAACAAAAATTTATTATGGGGGGGGGGGGGGGGGAAATGCAGTTTTTTTTAGTTTTCCAAAGGTTTACAATGTTGGATTCATTTATGATTCAAAACCTGAATCTTTTTTGGGACTTTACTTTCCCTGTAAGTCATATTTTTGTATTTCTAATTTTGAAAAATCAGGTCATAAAAAACATTAAAAATTTATACCTGTTTATATTTACGATTAACTCACTTAATCACTAACGACTTGAATGTAACTAAATTAAATTATTATTTTATGATGTTCTTTTTCAGGAAAAATCCTTTGCATTTTAAAGAGTATAATCATTTAAGTGATGAACTAACGCAAAAGAAGGATATAAAAGCAAAAGAGAAACCATTATGTGAATATGGCTCTACATGTTACAGGTTTTTTTTTTAATATAATTCATCTAAATTAAAAAAATACTTGTTTAAAGTTAAACAAAAACTACTAATTTAAAATTAAAATAAGTTAAATTTTTTGAACTAATTTTTCAGAAAGAATTTACAGCATTGGCAAGATTATATACATCCCTCAAGTAATTATTTTTTAATCTTTGTTTTTTTTGTAGTTGTTGTTTTTTTCTTATTTGTTCTAAGTATATATTTTAAGTTTTTTAAATATGTTTAAAATATCTCTAGAAACATTTATAAAATATCGGAAGCAAATTTTTTCATTTTGTCTTACTAACTAAACCTTTTATTTCTATAATAATATAATATTGTTCATATAGTATAATAATATAATTTTTAGATAATAATATAACTTTTTTTTTTCAGTAATATAATATACTTTTTACATATTATATACTATATTTTTTATGTAATAATATAATATAATTTTTAGATAATAATATAACTTTTTTTTTTCCAGTAGTATAATATACTTTGTACATATTATATACTATATTTTTTATGTAATAATATAATATAATTTTTATATAATTTTATAATAATTATATTATTATATAATTTTATATAATAATATATTAATCTTTTTTACTTTTGAATTTTTTGCACTTATCAAAATAAAGTTTATTCCAACTGAATGTTTATTATTCAAATGGCCATAACTGGCATTCTGAATTATTGCAATAATTATTTTGAATGATGTATCAAAGTATTGTGACTGAATGTCTTTCCCAAATAATTCCAAATGATTGACACAAAGTTCTTAAGTAAATTATTCCAAATGATTGACTTACCCAAAATTCATAAGTAAATTATTGGAATAATATTTTTGAATTGCAGCTTTGAGAAAACTTTAGTTTTGTCAAGCTTAGTTATATAATATTCTAAGTTATATTGGTTACAATAACTGCTCTATACTTATTAGTCATTGTCAGGAACAACTATTAATCAATTTTATAGTGTTTTTTAATCATTTAAAAAAAAACTTTGATTTTTTTTAATGACTGTTGATTTGGAGATTATATCATAAAACTTAAGATACTGTACATAAATAAATATCTTGATGCATAAGTGTAGGTATAAAAACATTGTTTCTAACTATAACACACTATAATTAATTGTTGTTTTATAATTATTTTATTTACAATGTCAAAGATATATATATTGGAAAAACAATCTTTAACTAAACTTTTTTAACATAGTTTATACAAAGCTATTGGTTGTTAAAAAAACTGAATTCATTACTTTTAAAAGTATTCAATTCATTTCAGCATTGAAATTTACTGTAGAAATAAAATCAAGAAAAAGTTACTCAAGTGGATAATGATATTGACACTGTCTAAGTAAATTTGATTTCTAGGTCTCAAATTCTTTTTGTTACTATTCTTTTTGTATTTTATTCTATAATAGCTGTTATTTATGTCTATTATTTATGAATTTAGTTATTTATAAATGTGTTACTGTGTTTATTATGACTTAAAACTTGCTTAAAATCAGATGAATTTTCTCACAAAATGAAAGTTTTTATAAGTATTTCTAAAATTTAGTTAATAGACCAGCATACACTAATTTCTTTGAGAATTCTCAAAAAAAATTTTATTGATCATCTTTTCCTTATAACATTCCTTTTTTATTTCATGTTTCTGTTGAGTGTCCTATCAAGTCATGTTTCTTAAAGTGTCCTTTTATAGCAACCATAACTAAATCCAATAATCATCTGATAACAGATATTGTATTTTTTTTTGAAAGTTTGATTTTGCATCTTAATCAAAAAATAAAAACTAATTACCAAACTATCTATATATTTATTAATAACTATAAATAAGTTAGATCAGTACAATAAATAATATATAAATAATACAATACAATAAATAAATAAATTTCAATAATAATGTTTTTACCATTTATCTACATTATTTATATATATATATATATATCTGTTAATAACTATCATACTTATCTAAATTAAAACTAATTAATAAACTTTCATTGTACAATATACCAAGTAACCTTAAATTTCTGCATTACTGTGATGATTACGTGGTTATTTTTTTTGATTACTAATACTGTAATGTTTTTGTAAAAAGAGAAAATAATAAAATAACTATAGAAATACTATAATTTTATTATTTTTTTGTATTAGTTACTATTATTTTATTAACTATTCTGTTTACTATTTTATCATTATTGTTTACTAATTTTATTAAAAAATACTCCTACTTCAGACTGGTCTTTATTACTTTTTGTAAGCACCCTTGTTGTAGAAATTTTTTAGTATTTGTATTCTGTTTTTAGTAATTGTATTTTATTTTCATTTAATTTTGTTTAACATGTAAATAAAAAGTTTTGTTAAAAAAAAATAAACAACAACAACATAAGTATCAAACAAATTCTATTAGCTAGCACTCAAAGTTTATAAAAGTAAAAAAAAATTTTTTTAGGTAATGAAAACAAAAAAGTGAAACCAAAACGTTCATGTTCAAAACAATCAAAAAATATTGAATATAAAGAAAACGAAGATTCAGGTAAAAAAAATTATATAAATATTATTTATTAAGTTATTACTAATATAAGTATTTATACTAGAAATATATCTAAATATACATACACCTCAGTTATAAACTATTACCAATAACCTGTAAAATATGCTTTTTGAAAGTTTGGAGAATAGATTTCTAAATATTTTTAGCAGAAAGATAAGGAAAAAAAAATTTTTAATTTTAAAATATGAGCGTAGAGCTTTCAGTGACAACTTCATTACAAACCTGTCTCATGAGACAAAGGACACAATTAATAATTTTCTTAAGTGAATGAGCTCTTATTGAAGTGTGGTGCTTATTTGAAGGTTTATGATAATGCAAAAATATAAATTTTAAAATAATATAAACTATAAAACTTTTTATAATTTTATTTGATTAGTTGTAAAGCAACACTGTTTTTTGATAATATTGCAAAATTATGCAAAACGATCAAAAAACTGCTAGTTTATTGTGTTTTGATTGGTTACAAAAGATTATTTTAATTTCGATTTAGAAAATGATGAAAATAAGTATGATTTAAACGATTCTTTTATTGACGATGAAGTTAGTGATGACGATTACGCGCCTGATTCTGTCTCAGACTCCGATGAATATGATGTCGAAGATAAAGATAACGATTGAATGATCAAGTGAATAATCAAAATGATAAAACAATGAAATAATTTTTGCAAAAAAATGAACTTTATAAATTAAATAGAACAAAATAAATTTTATATTTTTACTTAGATTAACAATATTTCTTCTATTTCTTATTTTGAGTCTAACAAATATATAACATTTAATTGTAGAATTTATTAATTTTAATGTTATAGTTGGTTATTAGTTAATAAGAGATCTTTAAAATTAGACCATTAAAAGTCTGTTTTAAGTGAAATACAGTGAAATTGGTTTTACACATTGGTTACATAGTTTTTTAAAAAGAATGATTTAATCTTTAGAAATGAGCGTGAAATCAGTTCCTCATCTAAGAATACCAAACATGATTCGATCAAAAAATAGTGAAATTGAATGTTGTGTTTGCTTTAAAAACTTAACTGAAGATTATGCACTGCTTTACTGGATTGATTACAGAGGTAAAGCAGTTCTTCAATCTGAGCTGCTTCCAATTAATAGAGATGATGCTGGTTACACAATTAACACTTTTGTGACCCACCCATGGGTTGCTACAGCAAGTCCAAAAGTACAACTTCTGTTAAATAAAAAGCGATATTTTTTTCCACCGAAACCCGATGAATGGAATCAAAATTCATACAAAGGTTTTAATAAAAAATGGCTATGCCAAAAAAATTTTGAAAGACTCCAAGAAGTAAAGCAAGAAGAAAATAACAAACAATATTTTGAAGTTCTTATAGAAAAACCTGGTAAGTTTTAAAACTGGTTCTGGTCTGTTTTTATTATAAGATTAAAATTTAAAAAGATATATAATATTTTGTATAATTTTGAAGGAAATTCTTTTTTTGTGGTGCATAGGTATTTTTTTAAATTTATATTTACCTTCTCAAAAGTAAATATATTAAAAAAAAATATTTAGACTTTTATAAGGCCATTACAGACCAGAAACTGTTACTTTTTGTTATTGCGCTACCACAAAAATCATCATACTTATAAATTAGAAATGATTACCCAACGCAAATTGCACAATGGTAACTTGATAGCTTGATACCAATATTCACATCATTAAATTAGGTTCATTCAAGAACACTTCTTTTTATCACTCAGTTCATTCATTTTGATGTTTGATTTTCAGTTCAATTTAACTTAATCAATTGAGAGTGTTAAAATTTTGTACACTTAAAAAAAACTTACAAAGATATGATCGTTTTAAAACAAAACATAAGTTGTTCTTTTTGTTTAATCTATTTTTTTTTTAGGTATTTTTTTAGGTATTATTTATCTTGTAAATAGTTACATTTTTAAATTTTAAATTAACAAAATTTGTTCCATACTTTTATAAAAACATGTTCAACTTGGGCTGATGTTTTTGAACAAATTTTGCAGCAAGCTGAAAAACAGAATCATTGGTGTAAATGAAATTGAAAAGGAAAAATATTGTATTTTTCTAAATTTTGGCTGTAATGTTTATTCCAGTGTTGTTAAGAGATCTTTTTTTTATATTCTAAACAGATAAAAAGTTATCTTTTTGTTAATGAAGTCTTTTTTGCCAAATATTGGAAAATATTAAGGTTTTTCTAATGCTCAGTCATTTTCTTTAAGTGTTCACACTTATTTGTGTGAATCTAAAAAATGTTAAACTCAGAAAGCTTTTTTTTGGTGCAACACTACATGAAGTAATGATTATTTCATCTTCACACATCATCTAAAACGTGTCATTCTTTCTAGAACAATGATGGATGGGTTAAATTGTTGAACTATTGAGAAAGTACTTAATTTATCACTCTATTGAGTTTTTTTATTATTTATTGAATTTCGTCACTATTGAAAAACTACTTTTTTATTATTCAACCAGGGATGTTTATCATTCCAGGGATGTTCAACCAGGCATTTTAATCAAAGGTTTTTGCTGTGTCAAGAGCATTTGTCCTAGTCTTACTACATCTGATTATTACACAATTAACTTTTTTTGTTATTACAGTTAAAAAATCAATAGTAAAAGTTAATAGACTCAAGCATTTTATTGAGTTTTAAACATAGATTTGTTGTTTTTCAGCATGTTAGAAAATATTTAGTTTTATAGAGAGTATTGAACTATAGTGGAGAACACTTTTTTACTGTGTTTTTGTGGTTGTTTGACCACACGACAAACAAGAATTTAAGTAAAAAAAAAGTTGCAACAGAAAGCAACAAAAATTGTGTGAATATGTTGCTAACAATTAGTTAACCTGTTTGTCTGGGATGTCAGGAAGTGTATAGTGTTAACAAAGGCTGAAGCGGTAAAGTCAAACTAAATTCTTTGTAAAGCCATAAAAGAAATACTTTCAATAAGCATATGTATGTACATTTATGACAATAAATTATATATATTTATTATCATAAATTATCATTTAATTCTCAAACTACCTGCGACAAAACTTAGAAGCATTATAGGTATCTAGATGAAATATTTTTAAGGAATTACATGCTGTGTTTTTTGCATTTTTTAAACAAGTATCAAAAGATTCTCTTTATGAAATACAAAGTTCATATTTCACAAACTGTTCAAAAATTTCACAATACAAAAAAATTTTCAACTGAACTAGGCGATGAGAAAAAACATTAGATAATATTTATGTAATGCATAAGTTCCTGATATAAATTATTCCTGATATTCCTTATATGAACAACTTTATCAGCAATTAATATCTAAAGTTTAATATTAAATATTTGGTTAACTATTATATAGAATCAATATGAAATTTTAATTCTATATGAGAAATTCTGTATAATAGAAAAAATATAGCAATAAAAAAATAATAAAAAGCTTATAACTCCATTTAACTTTTCATAAACCTTATAGAAAAAATATTTTGATTTTAATAAATCTATAGACTCACTTTGAAGTTTGTAGAGAGTTAGCAGAGGGTAGGAAAGTTTCAGTTTCTTCTATGCTTAAAGGTATTCTTTTTCGAATAACTAATGAATTATATGATGCAAGAAAAAAATTTCATATTACAATCACAAGGATTTTGGTGAGGAAAATGTTAATAATTAATACAAATATTTATCACCAGTTAATATTTAATTTAAAATTTTTTAAAGCTTCACTAATTCAAGATTCTTTTATACAATAGTGATGAGTATCAAATGTGTTTTAAGGATTGTGGTGATGAAGTAGGACAAGGATCAATTAATCAAACTGGTTAAAAGCAAAGCAAATGTTTGAGTATATATTTATTCGTCTTAAACTAAAATGCCAACAAATTGATAAAAACATGACATTGTGGCAAAATTATTCACAAGTGCATTATGGTGAAATCAATTACCAAATGCATTGTGTAATGCCTGGAAAACCCAGTCACAAGGTTGTCGATTTTTTAAAAAGATTTTATTTAACCATAAATGATCTATGTACAAAGAAATTTATTAGAATACTCCTATGTACAAAGAAAGTTTATTTTTATGATCCCAGTCCAGTATAATCTTATTTGTTATTTATTGTCAGTGTAAAATAAAAAAAATGATGAATTTCAGCAGCTATGTTTAGTGCTGCAGTTAACATATTTATGAATCCTTCACCGCAATTAACATATTTATGAATCCTTCACGTCCTTCACCGCTGCTGAATTAATGGTACTTAATCTTGGGAATTTATCTTAGAAAGGTCTTGATGTAAATAAAAAAAGTATATAGAACCATTTATAGA